CTTACTGCTAACCCATGTCGGACACCTCCACATGTTTTTGTCTAGGTGACGAATCCTCCTGGCATGGTTGGTTCCTACTTCCCTGGCCACTGAAGTCTTCTTGCTTGCAGCATGTCCCAGCCCTTCCGAGGACGACCCTCAGGCCACCTCCTCCTCCAACCTCCTTCGAGAATTTGCAGGGCTGTTTCTGAAGCTTCGAAACCGATCGAGTCACGTTCAAAGGAAACAAAAAAATATCAATGTGTTTCCTGGGAGTCGAGGCAGATTCAGGCGCTTTGATTTCTCTTTTCCCTTTCTCTCTCTTCTTCTTCTTCGAGAGTTGAATCGACGCGTAACAAGGGAGTCAAAAAAGCGTAAGTGTTATGTTTCTCGTGTTATCTTTTTAGTAGAGTTTAGTCACGGGATTTTACCCATTATTTGGCAAAGCGTTAGGCTGTGTGAGTGACTAGTTCTTGAGGCGGGGATCGCTAGCATGTCCCCCATGGCTCAAGACACATCACTTTTACCCTTTGAGCTAGTTAACTCGACTAAAATTTAACCATTAACATATACATATATATCGTTTTAACAAATTGTCTCTTTATAATGATTAATATTTAACATTCCAGTATCATTATTTAAGAGTTTACGTGTTATTTTAATAACTGTTTAGCGTCGTGTCGCGTTCCGTGGGGTACGGCGCCGCACTAGCAGCCTCGCGGCAGGAGCTGCACCTCCAGCCTCGCGCGGCGGCGGCGACTCCGGTGGTGAAGACGAGGGTGCGGTGGCGAGGCGGCGGCTTGGCCACTCACCATGCTTGCCCGGCGCTCACTCGCGGCACTGGCTCACTCCCGCTCTCGGCCCCGCGGTCTGGCTCCTGCTGGCCGCGCACTGCTCCCTCCCGCGCTCCCTCCCTCCGGCTCTCCCTCCTCCTCCTCCTCCACACCTCCCCCGCGCACGCGCCCTCCCTCCCCGCGCCTGATCAATAAGCCCACCTCTGTGGCCACCCCGCTGCACAACCTCACCGCCCCCCCCCCGCTCTTATAACCTCTCCAGCTCGCTCTCATCTGCAAATTCCCCAACCCCTCCCCTCCCCCTCCCCCACCCTTGCTGACCAGGCTCTCCCCAAGGAAAGCTGATCTACAAGTCTATTTCATCCCCCCCTCCACAACCTCTCGAGGGCCGCTTTCAGCCACAACCTCTCGAGTCTACCTTGATCTTCTCCGGACCATTACGTTACGCAACCTCCCCCCCACCCCCCACCCCTTCATCTCGCCCTGGCCCCTCGAACACGCCTCGCCCAGCAACATCTGCTCAACCTCACAACCTCTCCAAGGGCACGTCAGCCTCTCGCCAGCCTCCTTTGCCTCAGGTCCTACAGCGTATTCCGCCTCCCCCCTCCCCCCTTCCCCCCCTCTGAACCCCCTTCCCCCCTCCACCCCAAGCCCCGCCCACAACCCCTTGAGCCCGACGCCTCCTTGGGCCGCAGCACCTGGCCCGCCCTCCAAGCCGCGCTCAGGCAGGGCGTCGAGGGATAGCCCGAAGCCCTTTGCTCTTGGAGGAGGCTGGCCACGAGGCAGTGCGTTGGCGAGCGCGAACAATGGCTCTCCTTGGAAGGCTACACAATAGGCCTAGGGACTAATACGCTCACGACCGAATACTGTTACACTCGCCCCCTCCGTCCCCCAAACGACCCCCTCCCTTCCCCCACCCGACCCCACCGACCCCCTCTCCTCCCTTTCTTGTCCCCTCTTCTCGCCGTCACCATAGGGCCAGACACCACACGTCATATGGCCTCCCATCGACACCCTTGTCCCTGGCACTCTTCATCATCATGCAAGCTGGTGCCCCCTATCCCTTGATCTTACGGGAAGAGGCACCCACCCCCCCCCCCCCCGACCCTCCTTCCCCTTACCCCTTTGCCCTAATCCCCCCTCTCCGCCTGGCCCTTTTCCCTTACTCCTTTGCTTTCCTCTCCCTCCCCCCCCCTACCCCTCTCCCCTTACATCTCTGCCTTCACCCCCTCCCTCTACCTCCTCCTTACTCCTTCCCTTCTACCCTCAACTTACCTCTTTCCCCTTATTCCTTCCCCCTCATCCCCTCCCTCTACCCCGTCTCCTTACTCCTTTGCCCTCTCTCCCTCCCCAAGCTCCTGCCCCTGCCCCCCTCCCCCCCTGCCCCTCTTCCCTTCTCCCAACCCTCCGTTCCCATACCCATGCCCCCACCCCCACCCTTGACGAAGCTGCACGAGGGAACATTCTTTGCAGTCTTCAAGCTCCCTATCATCATCGAGCGCATGACGATCGGTGTCGCCATCATGTCCTTGTCAGCCACGTGCCCACCTGTCATGCGAATTTCTCTGTCGACGCGAAAGGATCTCATTTCGCTAACGTTTCTCGGCCGTAGCGCGCTTTACGTCGCTTAACGAGGCGTGTGCGTGCCGGATGCGTCGCTGTTCCCGTGAGGACCGTCGTCATAAAAAGTGATACACACACACACATTCATACTTACGTGCACAGTT